AGCCCCGGGGGCGCCCCCGCCACTGCAGACGCCCGACGGCTCCATCCGTGCCCTTTTCCTCTCCAAGGGCCCTGCTGGGAGCGGCTCAGCCGGAGGAGGCGGCCGAATCCCAGCCCCACTGGAGCAGGGGGTGGTGTCAGCCTTCAAGCAGCTCTACAAGCGGGAATTGCTGCGCCTGGCCGTCTCGTGAGCGGCTGGCGGCTCCGGTGGTCCCATGGACTTTGTGCGGTCCTTTCTCCTCAAGGACATGTTGTACCTGGCTGGTCTCTCCTGGGACCTCATCCCCCCCGGCTCCATTGAGAAGTGCTGGCTGCTGGGGTTGCGCGCCGCCTTTGAGCCCCAGCCCGGGGAGGAAGAGCACGGAGACCCCCCGCGCGGGGAGGAAGGTGGCGGGGACAGCAAAGTCTTTAGCGACCTGACCCACCTGGCCGCCTTGGCCTACAAGCGCTTGGCTCCTGAGGAGGTGGCCGACTGGTTGCACTTGGACGATGCAGCCCCCGGTACAGAGGAGGACGATGGGGAAGAGGACACTGAGGAGGAAGGCCCCGGGTGCTGTGGGGTAGAGGAGGAGGAGGAGGAGGAGGCAGCTGCCGGAGATGGGGATGGTAGAAGGGGTGGGGAAGGAGGGGACAGCTTGCTGCCCACAGCTCGGGAAGCCATCAGAGGTCTGGAGACAGCGTTGCGCTCGCTGGTCAGGACCCCCGGCAAGTGGGGCCGCGGAAGCTGGTGCAGCTCCGCTCCCTCATCAGCATGGCCCAGCGGCTGCACCGCGGCGGCAGCCCTCATTCTTAATGCAGGGTGAACCGTGACCTCTCAGCTACCAACCGCCCCGCTTGGGGTGGGGGGACACGGGGCTGGGGACACCCTGGTTGTCCCAGGGGGCTGGCGGTGGAGGTGCCAGCTCCCCTCGCCCCTCCGGCACGGGGCTCAGGAGGGCCGTGGGTTACCACGGCTAAGAGGGGGTTACAATTTAGGGCTAATGGGGTTTTTTTTGTGCAACAACCCCTCCGTACGTTGAGTATTCGAGGGTTGTTCCTCGCCTAAATATATTTAGGAGGTGCTATTTTTTAAATCCCATGAGACTGAGCGGGGGTGGCCCCCTGGTCACCGGCACCGCTAGAAGGGGATGGATACCCTCCCCATTCTGCCCGGTCCCCCCAACCCCATGGGGAGAAGCGGCGAGGGAGGGACCTGCTTGGCATCACCGTGAGAAGCCGGGATGATGGGGGAAGTTATTCTAAGTAATTCCCCACATCTTGGAGCGGGGGCTGGACAGGCACCGTCCAGCAAACATTCTGCCTCTGGGAACAAGCTGGTGATGCCCTTCCTGCTGCCGAAATGGAGTCCTTGTTAAACTGGGGAGGTTTGGGACTGGTTTAAGACAACTTTCTTCATGCACTGGATTGAGACAGGGACACTTGGGCAGTATCCAAGAAGCTGCGGCTCCCCAGAGAGGGTCACCTCCATCATTCCCATGACAGCCCCATGCCCGGGAACACCCAGACCACGGAGACCTGCTGAAACAGGTACCATCATCCGAGCATCCTCGCGAAGCCGAAGGCTCCGGGAATGAGGGTTGAGGTGTCACCCTTCCGGAGTTTGCGGGGTGGCTGGGGCTGGAGGACGCATCTCATGGTACAGAGGAGACATTTGCTGGCATGCCATGCGTTGCGAGTTGAGACGGGAGCGGGGAGGGCTCCCGGCACTGCCTTGAAATGTTGGAGGCATCAGATGTGAATTTAGCAGCTCTTGACCTGATTTTTGATTAAATTTTAACCTGCTAAGCCAAATTATTGAAAGGAGGGGAAAAAAAAAAACCCAACTCATCAGTGCTGCTGTGCCCCATGTCAACAGGCGGCCGTGGGTGTTTTTACTTGTCGGGTCTTTGTCTCATAACTTCAGAGTTTATGGAAATTAAACGGATTTTTATTCCCACTTTGGGGTTGTCTTCTGTAAACGGCCACGTGGAGCCATCCCGGCGGGGTTGGGGGTGGCACAAGGGGGACCTCTGTGCCGTTGTGTCCTCGTGGTGTGGTCTTCTCCATCGTGTTCCCCACCTCTCCGCAGCCCGTTTAACGCGGCAGGGCCAGGCAGGCGCCCGAGCTGCTGCGGCTGCTCCCCAAATTGACTTTTTTTGCTTTATTAGAAGGGATAACTTGCCGATAAACAAGGCTGCCAGGGAATTAGGGAGCAGCAAGAAGAAAAACAACCAACCACACAATAAGTCAAATTTGGAGCTGAGGTTTGTCCTTTCAGATCATGAAACTCCATTGCAGAACCAATGGCAGGAAGAGCTTCAGATTAGGGGAGAAATGCACTTTTTTTTTCGCCCAGAAACCCAACCAACCTCAATTTCTGCTGTTCAGTTGCTGCCAGGTTTACAGCCGGCACGTTGCGTGGCGTCTCACCCGTTTCAGGCTTCTCCCATAGCTTTTCTCCACCAGCAGGATGTAATCACGTAAAACCACATTTCTATTGGAGAAAAATGTGGTCAGCAGAAGGTACAGGGCTGGAGGTCGTCACTTCTCATGTAGGTCAGCCTGGGTGCGCTCATGGCACTGTTTGGTCTGGTTTGGGGAGGTGAGAACATTGAATCATCAAACAGTTTGGGTTGAAAGGGACCTTCAAAGATCATCCAGTCCAACCCTCCTGCATTGGGCCAGGACATCTTCCACCAGACCAGGTTGCTCAGAGACCCGTCCAACCTGGCCTTGAACACCTCCAGGGATGGGGCAGCCACAGCTTCTTGGGGCAACCTGCACCAGGGGCTCACCACCATCACAGTCAAGAATTTCTTCCTCAGATCTCATCTCAATCTGCCCTTTTTCAGTGTCAAACCGTTTCCCCTCATCCCATGGCTCCCCTCCCTGATGCAGAGTCCCTCCCCAGCTCTCCTGGAGCCCCTTTAGGCACTGGAAGGGGCTCTGAGGTCTCCATGGAGCCTTCTCTTCTCCAGGCTGAACCCCCCCAACTCTCCCAGCCTGTCCTCCCAGCAGAGGGGCTCCAGCCCTCGCA